ACAACATCTTTGTTGGTATGTGGTGCTGAGGATCGAACCCGGGCCGCACGCATGCCAGACGAGCGCGCTACCGCTTGAGCCACATCCCCAGCCCCAAAGTAGAGATTTTTTTAAAATTAAAAAAGTGATTAATGTTAACCTGCAATGCGTATATTACTATTATCTTAAAATGAAATAATAGGGCTGAGGATGTGGCTCAAGCGGTAACTTGCTTGCCTGGCATGGGGGGGGCATTGGGTTTGATCCTCAGCACCACATAAAAATAAAATAAAGATGTTGTGTCCACCGAAAACTGAAAAATAAATATTTAAAAATTCTCTCTCTCTTCTCTATCTTAAAAAATTGAAATAATAAATCAACTGCTTATATATCTCAGTTTTAAATTCTAATATGATAGATATCAATAGATATAACTCACAGAAAAGAGCTCTTCAGAGTCCTCAATAGTTTGAAGAATATAAACGTGTCCCAAGACCAAATAGCTTACTAACTGCTGCTAATAACACTGCTAATATAGAAGACTGCCAAGGGCAGAAGCTAGGTCAATAATACATAGAAGGGAGTTATCAGAAGAGGAATCCATTAGTGAATTAACCCCTATCTCAGGGTCACTGCTAACATCTCAAGTTTCATACATCCAAAGACTATAAGACAGCAATAAAAAATAACTTTAAAAAACCTCAACATATCTGAAATACTAAGATTTAGTTCAATAATGCACATCAATTTAAGCAAACAAATCTCAAAATTTAGTATGCCTGAGTTTCTAGGAAACTCTCATAACTAAGTATACAGTGAAGACACTCACTAGCTTGCCAGCATGTCTGACAGTTCCCTCGATGACAAGGTTCTTCACACCTATGAAGGCCACAACGAAGTTTCCTCCCACAAATCAAAGGACACTTGTGCTCCTTATCCTGAGGGGAGAGATTTCTATTTGTTCATAAAATGGTCTCCAATTTATATTTTCTATAAACAAGATTAACTTGCAAAAACAAAGCTTTATACAATTAAGTATGAAATAATGTCTAGGAATAGCTTCAAAATAACCAGGGAGGAGGAAGTCGGTTAGGGTATGGATAAAACAAGATTAGTCATGATTTGGGCACTACTGAAGCTGGATGTTATGTACATGTGAGTCACTATACTAATATCACTGCTTTTGCATATGCTTGATTTTTGATAATCAAAAGCATTTAGGCCTTCAAACACTGACTTATCAATCTTGGTAGAAAGCGCAATTTCATCATTCTTCACCTTGTCAATATATACATTTTTTAAATGATAATTATGTATTACCTTGTTATTGGTGCTGTTATTTTGTTTGTACACATTTGTGTATATACATATACTCACAGATATATATATCACATATGTACATGTTATCTTGTCATGTACATGACACACACCCACATATGTATATACGATAAGATATATCAATAGTTGAGTTATGTTTCCTTTAATTAATTCCACAGAAGTGAATATTCCAAATAAATGTAACTCACTCCTGTAAAATGTCATACTCAGGGGTGAGATTGTGGCTCAGTGGTACAGCACTTGCTGGTATGTGTGAGGCACTGGGTTCAATTCTCAGCACTACACACAAACAAACAAACAAATAAAGGTCTACTGACAAATAGAAAAAAAAAAAGTTATATTCATTTTGCCTACTGACTTGGCCCAAGGAGTATATAAAATGCAAAGAACAAGTTGCTAAGCCCAGAATAGTGTGTTGGACTGTGTGCTCATCTAGGTCTTGGGCTCTGGGGTCCAAGGTCTTTTGTCTTTCCTTTTTAAATTCCTTCATGCTACCACTGGTTGATTTCTTGACCTGGCTGAGGTCTAAAAATGTTTTATCTATCTCTGCTGAGCAGTTTGGGGACTATGAGAGCTCTTTCTTGCCTACAGGCCCTTCTTATTGATATCTAAATCTGAGCCACATTCCAGATGGCTGAGGTTTCAAGAGCCTGGTGCCCAGATGAATGGAATCTAATTATGCCTAATGATAAATCCACTTACCACACAGCATATCTCGTTACATTTATGCCGTCCACATAACCGTTTCTTGTTACACCGCTTGTCACACATAAATGTTGCATCTGCATGGCCAATTAAAAAGATAAAAAGCAAAAGATATGAACATTCATTCAACATATATTTGAGTATCTACAATTAGAAGAAATATAATGTAATAAAGTAAATAAATTAATCATGGCAAAAAAGCAAATTAAATTATTTCTTACCTGTCAAATTATCAAAAACTAGAAAGAGTAACACTGATTAATATATAGTATGGACTGGGTGTGGTGGAGCACACATGTAATCCCAGCAGCTTGAGAGGCAAAGGTAGAAGAAATAAAAAATTTGAAGCCAGCTTGGGCAATTTAGTGAAACCTTGTTGTAAAGTAAAAAATAAAAAGGGTTGGGGACATAGTTTAGAGGTAGAATAACCCTGGATTCAATCCCCAGTACTGGGGAAAAGAAAAAAGTATGTGTGTATATACATATAATATAAAATATACACATACATACATATTAGGTACACATATATACATATAGTATGGATGAAGATATGGGAAAAAAGTATATTTAAATGGGCAGATCTATGTATTTATGAAAAATTTAATTGGCAATTCATTTTAAACAACACAATATATACTTTCAAAAGTGAATTGGGGGGAGCTGGGCATAGTGGTGCACGCCTGTAATCCCAGCTGCTCGGGAGGCTGAGACAGGAGAATTTTGAGTTCAAAAAGCCAGCCTCAGCAACAGCGAGGTGTTAGCAACTCAGTGAGACCCTGTCTCTAAATAAAATTCAAAATGGGGATGGGAATATGGATCAGTAGTTCAATCCCCAGTACCAAAAAAAGTGGATTGGGGTCTGGGTTGAGTGCTTGCCTCACATGCATGAGGCATGAGTTCAATCCCTAGAACCACATAAAAAATAAATTAATTAATTAAATAAAGATATTGTGTCCACCTACAACTAAAAAAATATTTTAAAAAGAGTGGATGGGGACTATGGGATTGATTTAGCAGTAGAGCAATTGCTTAGTGTGTCTAGTGTGTATGAAGCTACAGATTTAATCCCCCGCACACACACACAAAAAGACTAGAATATCAAAGGTGCATGCAATAATAACAAAAACATGTAAAAATGTACTTCATAAAAATTAAAAGCTTTTGTTCATCAAAGGATACTATAAGGAAGTAAAAATAATCCACGTAATGGAAGAAATTACAAAGTGTCTAGGATCCAAAATATACAAGGAATACTGATAACCAAAATAAAAAAGACAAATCATTCTAAATAAAAAAAGGGCAAAGAACTTGGAGAGAAAGATCATTCTCCAAAAAAACTATAAAAATGGCCATTAAGAACATAAAAAAAGTTCAACATCATAAATGCATACCAAAACCAAGTTTACTTCACACAGACTTAGGATGATTATAATTTCAAAAACCCAGAAAATAACAAGCATTGGCAAGAATATGGAGAAATTAGAATCTTTATACACTCCTGATGGGAATGTAAAATGGAGCAGTCATTGTGGAAAATAGTATGATAGTTCTTCAAAAACAAATACCAATGGATCCACCAATCCCTCTCCTAGGAATATTATCCTAAATAACTGAAAACTGGCATTCAAACAAAAACTTTTATATAAAAATGTTCACAGCAGCATTACTGACAATAACCAAAAGGTCTAAACAACTCAAATATTTACCAATTAATGAATAGATCAATGAAGTGTGGCATACTGATAATAGCCATAAAAAAGAATGAAGTATTGATATGGGCTACAATATGATAACCATGAAAACATGCTAAGCGAGCCAGGCAAGGTGGCACATGCCTATAATCCCAGCAAAAAAACAAACAAACAAACAAACAAAAAGACACAGGAGGCTGGAGCAGAAGAATTGCCAAGTTTGAGGCCAGCCTCAGCAATTTAGCAAGATCCTAGGCAACTTAGTGAGACCTTAATCTCAAAATTTAAAATACACACACACAAAAAGGATAGTGATTGCTTATGTATTCATGGGTGAAATTAGGTTTGAGATTTGCTTTTAAAGTGCTTCCCCCAAAACTAAAAATAGGGACAGAAGGAAGGATAAAACAAGAGAAGCAAAATGTTGACAACTGATGAAAGGTGATAGGTGTATGGGAGTTCTTTATCCTGGTCTATTTTCACATATAACTGAAATTCATCATAAAAATTAAAAAGTGGGATAGGATAGCTACTGCATTATTAGTAATGGGGAAAACTGGCGACAACCTCTTCAATGACCACCCAAAGGGCCATGATGATGTATAATATGAAATAATTTTCAAGGGAAAGCTATACACAGACATGAAAAAATGTGTTTAACAGATAATTGAGGGAAAATATCAACTTCCAAACAATATGTTTAGTATGAACCTAAATTTAGGGGAAAAAACAAAACTATGGTAGTAGGTTTATATTTCTTTCTTTCTAAAAACAGAGAATTTTAATATTTAGTTATTTTTTAGTTTTTGGTGGACACAACATCTTTGTTTGTAAGTGGTGCTGAGGATCCAACCCAGGCTGCACGCATGCCAGGTAAGCCGCTATCGCTTGAGCCACATCTCCAGCCCCTGTATTTCTTTATAAATACAGAAAGCTGTTTGAAACTATACCCCACAAGTTATGGATAGGGGTTTTATCAGAGGAGTGAAATTAGGAGGGAAAAAAATAGGATGAGGATATATTTTCACTTTTTATTTTATATATATGTATGTATATTTTAAGCCTTAAAGTATATTAATTTTAGCCAGGCATGGTGGCACATGTCTATAATCTCAGAAACTTGGAAAGCTGAGGCAGGAGGATTTCAAGTTCGAGATCCTCGGCAATGTACCAAGAGACTATCTCAAAATAAAATATAAAAAGGGCTAGAAATGGGGCTCTGTGGTTAAGCACCCCTGGGTCCAATCCCAAGTGCGCGCACGCGCGCGCGCGCGCACACACACACACACACACATTTATTTTATGTTTTTCAAATTATGTTTTTTAAATTCACAGATAACATTAAAAAACCCTTCTTCTAGTTTTACTGGAAATGCATAGAACATTACCATTATTGACAGAAACCTTACCTACTAATAGAAAACTAGAACATTTCAAATTATGTTTTGTTTTGTACCAGTGATAGAACCCAGGACACTTAACCATTAAGCCACATTGCCAGCCTTTTTATTTCTTACTTTGAGATAGAGTTTTGCTAAACTGCTTAGGGCCTTGATAAGTTGCTGAAGCTGGTGTTGAACTTGAGATCCTTCAACCTCAGCCTCCCCAGCTGCTGGGATTACAGGCATATGCCACTATGCCCAGCTCAAATTACGTCCCCCCCACCCCTAACATGTTTTTAGTTGTTTACAGATCTGTATTTTATTTATTTATATACAGTGCTGAGAATCGAACCCAGTGCCTCACACGTGCCAGGCAACTAAGCTACCACTGAGCCCCAGCTCCTCAAATTATGTTTTTAATAACCAAAATTTCGAATCTGATTTTGAGGCCACTTGTCTCTTCCTCAGGCTAACAGAACCTTAATTTTGTTCAGATTTTGTGTTCCTCCATTCCAGGGGAGGATGTTGAAGAGTTTAGACCATCGTGGTAATTCTATCCCCTTTCCTAATGGTAGGTTTAAGTAGGAATGTGTGATATGAAGTGTATTGAAGACTTTTCAGGATTGTTTTCCTTGTTCTTAAAAAGAAATACAACATAAAAAGTCGCCCCTTCTTTCTTTTAGATGCTGTTGGGCAAGAACCCAATGTGTGGAGTTGCAGTAACTAACTGATATCCAGGAAAAGTCATGAAAATCACAAAAAAGTTGAACTGGAATCCTGAAATCCTGGACATGTTCTGCTTCCAGATTGCTGTTATATAAGATAGTAAATTCTCTTACTGTGGAAGTCATTTTTCCTTGGATTTTCTGTTATTTGCATGCAGAACCTTCCTAACCAATACTGCTTTCTCCCTGAGTAGAATAAAAACTTTTATTTTTGCCCTTGCTATCTTTTATCACTATTCCAAAAAGCTCTTAAGGTGGCGACACTATGTGATGGCTACTAAGATAGGGTAGAACCAGAATTGAGTGGGAAAATCAGACTAAGGCCCTAAGCAGTTTAGCAAAACTCTATCTCAAAGTATCTAAAACTCAAAGTAAAAAAGGTTGAAGGCTGTGTCCCTGCTCCAGGTACCAAGTCTTATCAAGCCTTAAGGGATCAACTATATAGTCAGTGTTTAAAAAATTATAAGGGCAAAAAAACCTTTTAAGACAAAAACAACAAAAAGAAAACCATATGTACAAAGAGGTCTTTTCAAGACCCATGGACTTCCTGTCTGAGCCCAGTAAAGACAGTTTATGCGTCAAACATAAAACAAAACAAGTATTAGGTATTATTTGCCCCTCCAAACATTTTGGTATAAAAATTTCAAACATATAAAAAAGCTGAAACAGGGCTGGGGTTGTGGCTCGGTGGTAGAGTGCTTGCCTAGCATGTATGAGGCACGGGGTTCAATTCTCAGCACCATATAAATAAAGATATCGTATCCATCCACAACTAAAATATTTTTTAAAAAGCTGAAACAATTTTACAGTGAACATCCACATATATACCAACTAGATTTTATAATAAGCATATTTACTTTTTTCATATCCATTCTTTTACCCATCTAACCAAATATTTTTAAAAATACATTTCAGGGGCTTGGGTTGTAGCTTAGCGGTATAGCGCTCACCTAGCAAGTGCCAGGTCTTGAGTTCAATCCTCAGCACCACATAAAAATAAATAAACAAAAATAAAAGTATTGTGTTCAACTACAACTAAAAAATAAATATTTGGAAAAAAAAAACATTTCAAAGTATGCTATAGACATGAGTATACTTAGCCTAAATTTTTAGCAATTCATTAACTGTAATTTGTGATTTCTTTTCCTTTTGAGGTAAAAGTTATACAATTTAATGTACTAATCTTAAGTGTATCTTTGCTGAATTTTGATAAATACATAACTCAGTCCCCTATTAAGATGCAAAGCATTATCTTTATCCCAGTAAATTCTTTCATGACCCTTCCCAGTCATACCTTCACTTTTGAGACTGGTACATGGAAGCTCCTATAGGAAGAGAAAAAGAAACAATAACTACTTTAGGAGTAAGTAAACAATACTCTTTAGTGTAATGCCAAATATAACAGTCATTTATTTATTATCAACTTCACTAGTGTGGAACTTGCCCAATTACATTAATGTGCACTTTCCCCTGCCCTATGGGGGACTGAACCCAGGAACTCACCCAAGCATGGGGCTTCATCTTTAGAACTTACAAGCCTCTTGCCTCACTCAGCCTCTTAAGTAGCGGAGACAACAGTTGTATACCACAATAGCCAACAAATTAACTTGCTTTACTTACAACAGGACCTCCTGTTTAATGACTTTTCATGCAAATACAATTCTAATAATTGTGCCCTGGTCTCCAAACTAACAGCAGGTTAGGAATTATAAAGTCTGAATGAAAAAGGGGCTGCTAAAGGTATGCAAAGCAAAGAGGAGTTGTCATCTGACAAGGGTGCAGATACAAAGAGCAGACATAGAACTGAAAATAGGTTATAGTTTGGTGTCATTTATAGTAAGGGCAAACAGCTCTAGACCCTCAAGAGCATTCCTCGCAATGTTACTGAACTGTAGCAAAGTAGAAAATGGTACATCTTTGGTCTTTAAAGTTTTATTACTGTGGTTTTAATTATATCTGAGTGGCTCCAAAGACTTATCATATGTAATTTGCAGAGACATAATTGTGGATATAACATTTGGTGAAGCTGTATAGGGAGCATTTTACTTGGGGTAAAATGAGCCTGGCTGGTTGCCCAGCAGCTACGTTGGAATTTGGTTTTGATGTAACTTATAGATGGTTATGTACTCAAGATACAAGCAAAATAATAAAAACGTTCCTTCTTAACAATAATGACTGACTTAAAAAGGCAGCTATTAGAATTGTTAACAGATGTGAAGAGGTCTAAGAAATTGAAGGTTCTTGGTTAGAAAATAAACATTTAAGATGAAAAAAAAAGAGCTGACTGGAATCAAGCTCCCCATATGCCCTCTAGTAACTCATGAAACTACTTAAATAAATGCTCCTGCAATTATATGCTGGAGTAGGACCTCAAGACACAGGGGAAGGCAGAGCTCCCTAAATCCATGCAAATGAATTACCAGTAAAAACTTAAATACAATATTCTTTATTAAGAAGTACTAGGATAGGGGCTGGGGTTATGACTCAGCGGTAGAGAGCTCGCCTAGCACATTTGGGGCAGTGGGTTCGATCCTCAGCACCACATAAATTTTTTTTTTTTTAAAGAGAGAGTGAGAGAGAGTGAGAGAGAGTGAGAGAGAGGGAGAGAGAGAGAGAGAGAGAGACAGAGAATTATTTTTTTAATATTCATTTTTTTTAATCATCGGCGGACACAACATCTTTGTTTTGTATGTGGTGCTGAGGATCGAACCCGGGGCCGCATGCATGCCATGCTTGAGCCACATCCCCAGCCCCACATAAAAATTAAAAAAAGGTTTTGTGTCCAATTACAACCAAAACAAAATATTAAAAAAAAAAAGAAGTAGTAATAGTACTAGGATACAGCATACATTTCTCAAAGACTCCCTGTCAAAATGATGAAAATAAAACAATTTTGAAACTTTAAAAAAAAATAAGCTTTATTTATCTGGAAAACTCAATTCTGTGGAAAAGCCCATCCCATTCCAAAAGATGTTTCATGATGATTATCAGTTTTTTAAGGTTAACTTGTCCTTAATGATTCAACAGAATTATATTGATGGTGAGTTTCTTCAGGAATTACAGAAAAGACGTATTTGCAAAAATTCAATTGACACAAATCTTTCCAAGAACATACTCACTGCTGTAGGTGGCATAACATTAGAGAGTGAATGAGAAACAAGAGAGCAAAGGGTAGGTTTGTTGGAGAGAGAGAAGCAAATTAACAGCAGCTATTTCTAGCTTACATGTCTCAACTCTGCTTATAATCCTTGTTTACAAAGAGCACCTCTGGGCATGACTAAATTGATGATTACTAAATTACAGCATCTCACAGCCTTTTTGTGTGTGAATGTGTTAGGAACTGAACCCAGAGCCTCATGTGTACTAAAGCACATGTTCCACCACTGAGTAGTTCTACCACACCCCCAATTTGGACAGATTTTAATCTGGTACTAACAAAGTCAAAAGTGGTCCTACAATTGACATTCAAAGTACCTATACTTCTCAATTTATACTGTGAATTCTTTCAGGAAAAAAAAAAGGGCACACATGCTTTTTTGTCATACTAATACATACTACTTTTATCTTTTTTCTCCACTTTTATTCTAAAGATTACCTACACTAAACTGTAGCTTCCAATTTGTGGACTATATCCTCAGACTCATTTGCAAGTCAGTTATTACCCCGACGTTGACTGTATTAACAAACAGAACCAATTATTCAGAATATTGTCTCCACCCCAGCTTGTGATCTACTGGCACAGTTGCTAATATGCCCTGAAATGACTAGTAGATCAAACAGCAGGACAAATCATCACTTAGTGTATTTCACCAAAAGTCTTCCACAGGAAAGATTCCTTCTTCAGACATAGAAAGGGGCACTAGAGTCTAACTCCAAAATGTTAAGATGCTCCTTTTATAAGACAAAGTCAAATTATAACAACCCTGGAAAGAAAGTAGAAATTTAGGGGCTGGGGATGTGGCTCAAGCGGTAGCATGCTCGCCTGGCGTGCGTGCGGCCCGGGTTCGATCCTCAGCACCACATACCAACAAAGATGTTGTGTCCACCGAGAACTAAAAAATAAATATTAAAAATTCTCTCTCTCTCTCTCCTCTCTCTTTAAAAAAAAAAAAGAAAGAAAGTAGAAATTTATACAAGGGTGGTATAGTGAAGAATTATCCTTACCCAAAGAGAGGTATCTCTAAGACTAATGGAATGCCATGTTCAACAGGTGTCATTATTTTCCTATGGCCTTAGGTCACTGGAGAGTCTCATAATATGATTTAGGAGTAGGCTGGCCACACTGAATAGGCTGGGAGCTTTGGGTCACTTCTGGAGAGATTGGAGACTAAGACTTGCCATGTAGGTAGTCACCCACGAGACCCAATAAAAACTCTTAAACACATAGGCTTGGGTGATCTTCCCTTGTTGGCAATATTCCATGCATACTATCATACATTGATGCTGAGAAAGTAACACTGTTCTGACTCCAAGGGAAGAGGGAAAAGAAGCTCCACATATGGTACTTTCTTGGACTCGACTCTACAGGTTTCTACCTTTGGCTGATTTTAATCTGTATCCTTTCCTTGTAATAAAACCACAACCATGAATATAGTAGTTTTCAGTGAGTTCAGTGAGTCATCCTAACAAATTAAAAGCCTTGAAGGAGGTCTTATGGATCAGTGAACTTGCAGTTGTATCAGAAATTGATATCAGGAATGAGTGGTCAATGTTCTACTTTAGCAGTTGTCTAAATTCTTGAAGTGGGTTAGAAGTGAGGACAGTCTTGTGGACTATGTCCCCTCTAACTTTTTTTGGTACAAAGGTCTGAAGCCAAGGGCACTTTACCAATGAGTTACTCCTCCACCCTCTAAACCCCCTTTTAATTTTACTATAAGACAGAGTATTGCTAAATTGTTGAGGCTAGCCTCAAACTTGCAATCCTCTTGCCCCAGTCTCCCAAGTGAGTACAATTATAGGTGTGCACCACCATATCTAGCTCCTCTAACTTCTTAGTTGGTTAATTCCTTTTTTTTTTTTTTTTTGGTACCAGGGATTGAATTCAGGGGCATTTAACCACTAAGCCAAATCCCAGCCTTTTTTTGTATTTTATTTATAGACAGGGTTTCACTGAGTTGCTCAGTGCCTTGCTCAGTTGCTGAGACTGGCTTTGAACTTATGATCCTCTTGCCTCGGCCTCCAGAGCTGCTGGGATCACAGGTGTGAGCCACCACTTCTGGCTTAGTTGGCTAACTCCTTGAGACAGTGCTATTGTTCTTCTTTTCATAATTATACCTAGTACAGCTATGTGCCTCTAAACCTTGAGTTCTGCAATCCCCTCATACCTATCCTAGTCATAGTATGTATCAGTATACATTGGCTGGATTTAAAGATTCGTATGTAGTATGAAACTAATAAAACCAAGGTTATTTGGGTTCCTCCCCTCCCACAATCACAATTTTTTTGTTTTTAATTTTTTTGTAGTTGTAGATGGACACAATACCTTTATATTTTATTTGCTTTTTAAAAATATATATATTTTTTGTTTTAGGTGGACACAATATCTTTATTTTTATGTGGTACCGAGGATTGAACCTAGTGCCTCACGAATACGAGGAAGTGCTCTGCTGCTGAGCTACAGCCCCAGCCCCCATAATCACCATTTTAATATATACATACTTTTTTAGTTATACATGGACACAATATCTTTATTTTGTTTATTTTTTTTTATGTGGTGCTGAGGATCGAACCCAGTGCCTCATATGTGTAGGCAAGTGCTCGGCCACTAAGCCACAACCCCAGCCCATAATCACCACATTAAAAGGCACTGATAACAACAACTTTTTTTAACCATCAGGCCACACCCCCAGTGTTCAACCAAAGACATGAAAAATTGAATTGCATTCTGCTGTCATATATAGCTAATTAGAATAAACAAAATAAATCAAACAACAACAACAATAACAACAACAACTCTAGTATTGTTTAGGATTTACCTTTGTTCTGAAAGAGCATCGGCAGGAAATAACTGATGTGCGAGAGCATGGGCCACAGTCTCCTTCATGGCACAGCTTTTCACAGGTATGAATGAAATCTTTAATAAAAATGAAAAGAGCTGGAATGAAAATTGCATCTACTCATTTTCATACTCCCAAACACAGTAATGATACTGGTCTTCCATCTCTATTCCTGCAATTCCACATTCAGAGTACAGGGAAGGATGTAGTTAATGCTTCTTCCCTTATTTTCCCATCACTTGGTAGGTTAGATCTTTACAGAGGAGGACAGGGTCTATCATAAGTCACTGGAATATATTCTGACATGCATGCTGCTTTGCCTGTCAAAGAATAATTTTTTTTAAACTTTTTTTTTGGGGGGGAGAGGTGTACCAGGGATTGAACCCAGAGGTGTTTAACCATCAGGCCACATCCCCAGTGCCCCCCACCCCCTTTTTAATACTTTTTTTTTTTAGTTCTGGTTGGACACAATATCTTAATTTTACTTATTTATTGTGTGGTGCTGAGGATTGAACCCAGCACCTAGCATGTGTTAGATGATCTCTGTACCACTGAGCCACAACCCCAGAAACCCTATTTCTAAATAAAATATTTAAAAAGAACCCTCAGTTCTTTTATATATTTTATTTAGAAACAGGGTCTTGCTGAGTTGCTTAGGGCCTCACTCTGAGACTGGCTTTGAACTCGTGATCCTCCAGCTTGTCTCCTGAGCCACTGGGATTACAGGTGTGCGCCACCACACTAGCAAATAGATTTTTCAGCTGGGCATGGGGGTCCTCACCTGTAATCCCAGCACTCAGAGGTTGAGGCAGGAGGACCACAAGTTGGGGGCTAGTCTCAACAATTTAGTGAGACATTGTCTCAAAATCAAAATAGAAAGGGCTGGGAAAAGAAAATAAACTTAAAAAAAATAAAAAGGCTTAGTCATCTAGTTAAGTGGTATAGCACCCCTAGGTTCCATCCCCAGTACTTCATGAAAGGAAAAAAAGTTCTGACTCTTGTTAAGCCCTTAAACCCCAAGTCTGCAGATTAGACTCAGATCCCCTTAAAAGTGTAGCCATGGATGAATGAAACACTCTAGAAGTTATCTGGGAAATGAATCAGAGATAACTCAGAAGCCATAATCCATAATCTCACTGATTTAAATACTGTGAACATCTGGCAATGAGTGGCCTGCATAAACTGAACTAAACAAGATTTTGAACAAATCCTCTTTCAAGGACCTCTTGGAGATCACCCAGAGTCTCTCTTTTGTAGTGCTGGGGATTAAACTCAGGGCCTCAAATATGCTAAGCAAGTACTCAAATATGCTAAGCAACTATGAGCTGTACCTTCCAACCCTTATTTCTTTCTTTTCTTTTTTTATTGGTACTAAGGGTTGAACCTAGGGCCTTAGGCATGTTAAGCAAGTGTTCTATCATTAAATTATATCCCCTTAGTCTCTTTCTTATGGTTACTGTTTACATAATGTACTATCTCCATCCTTTAATGGTCAGCCTCACTGTATCTTTTTTTGGGCGGCCTGTGTGTGTGTGTGTGTGTGTGTGTGTGTGTGTGTGTGTGTGTGTGTGTGTGTTAGTTAAAGCCCATGGGCACTTTACCACTGAGCTATATTGCCAGCTCTTTTTATTTATTTCCTTTTACACTAGTGACCTCTTTAATATATAGAAATTAGAGATGATAAAATTAGGACTAATTTGTCCAATATATTATTTTTTTATTTTGAGACAGGGTCTTGCTAAGTTGCTGAAGCTGGCTTCAATCTTGCAACCCTCTTCCCTCAGCCTCTTGAGTTGCTGAGGTACAGGTGTGCACCACTCTGCCTGGCTTGAGCTATTTTCTTAATGGTTGCTCTAAATCTTATCATAATCACCTCATCAGAATCTATTTTGGATTTAATTCCAGTGAGGTACAGATGCTCTACTCCTAAAAAGCTTCATTCTTCTTCTCCTTTTTTATGCTATTGTTATATGTATCTATATATATTACAAACTGAACATTACATTGTTATAATTTTAATTTACCCTTAGTTACATGGGTAACTATTATAGAAAGTAACATTCTATGAATGGTCTAAGAGGCTGAAATTTTATTGTACATATCAGTATCTCATCAGTTGTCCAGAATTGACAATAAAAATACCTGAATTGGAGAGATCACTTGGACAAATGTAAGTGTAAAGACAGAGTACCTACACAAATTTGAAAATAATATTTAAAAGAACACTGATAACTGGTTTTTAATACTACTTCGCTAAAATGTCATTGCTGCCACATAATAAAAATGTTTTATTTTTGGTACTGGAGACTGAACCCAGGGGCACTCTACGAGTGAGCTATATGCTCAATACTTTTTATTTTTTGAGACAGGGTTTTGCTGAATTTCCCAGGCTGGCTTCAAACTCTTGATCCTCCTGCCTCAGTCTTCCAAGTTGCTGGGATCAGAGTTGTATTTGACTGTACCCAGATGACACAAATATTTTTAAAGCCAACTTTATACAAACTAGTTACCTGAGGAACCACAAGGCAGAGGCTTGCCACACACTTTTCCACATGAAGGAACAGGGTCCATGCACGTTTTCCGTCCACTACTTCCGAGTTCTAGCAATTGGCTGAGAGGGGTTTGGCCACAAGGGCAACAGCGCACCAGATGGGGGAGCCGTGGGCAAGGCTGGCAGGGTTGAGGATGGCACACTTGAGAACACGTATGGCTCCCACATTTCAAGTCCCTGTTAAGTAAAAGAACAGATTATTACATAATTGTTGCATAAAATTCAGTTTTATTCTAATAGAAGAAAATGTAAAACCTTACTTGCCACATATCTTTAAACAGCCAAAGTCCCCAAATCCATCAGACTTTCCTATGTCTGTTCCACATAACACATCTCTGGAGGTGCTGCCACAGTAGCATACTTGAGGACACAATTTCAAAAACAACAGATTAATAACCTATAGATGCTCTTAAAATATTTCAAATAATCTACAAGAAAACAAAAAAAAGCTTTTCATAAGTGCTGATCAGGCCTGATACAGAAATTAACGTGCTTTGTACAGGAGCTCAAAGTCCCACCTAATAGCTTTATACAGGAATAAGTTTAAAAAAGTCTTCGTTAGGCTCTGTCAGTCTCATAGTGCCTCTGTAGCACACCCTAATAACAACATCAGAGTGAAGCAACTCTCAAATTTAAAGACTATCTGGCCCTTAAAGCCAAACTGTGAAGCTCCATGGGGTACTGTCATAGGAGATAGATGAGCTTAGCTAACAGTAGTGGTAGAGGGGTTGATACCCATCCTCATCTCAACACAAATAGTATAGATATGAACTTTATATTCTGGGTTTTACATAAAATACTTGGAAAAAAAGGTCCCTGATACTTCAATTTTTTTTTTAAGAAAAAATTATCACAATAGTATTAGATCCTTAATAATCCATATATTTCTCTGTTAAATTTGAATACACTGAGTGAAAAATTTCAAAGAATTCAAGACTTTTTAGGGATTCAACCTAGGGTCTTTCACATATGCTAGGCCAGTGTTCTATCACTGAGCTATTTGATACTCTTTGCAGAAATGTTTCTGATACATAAATATGTACCAATTTACATACATAATTTTCCTGCCCCTTTATGCTTTTATTTTATAGTGAAAATTTATCTTATAAATTAACCTATGCAAGTATATCCTTCATAATAAATGGTGATCAGAATAGTAGAAACTAAACTGAAATTCTGCAGATCTAATGATATTTTCCTTCTTCCAAGGGCAATTTAGATACCTACTGTACACAAAATCTATCAGAATAAATGTAACATTATAAAAACATCAAGTCTTTTGTCTCCCAATGGTACCATGAATTGAATCCAGGTATACTCTACCACTGAGCTACATACCCAGTCCTTTTTATTTTTGATATATATGAAATAAGAAATAAAATAGAATGCTTCTAATAAAATATTAGAAATAACATTTCTAAAATAAAATTGTATACTAAACAAAACTAAAAACTTCTACTGAGACCTGGGAAAAGGAAAGCCTCAAGTCACTGAAGACATAGTCTAGATAAAATATACATTTCATCTTGAATTAAGTAATGTGCAACTTAATCCCATTCTAAAATTCATTCATTCACCCCCCAAAAATTTAATATAGATGTAGGAAACAATATTTGTGGAATCAATGAATTAGTAAATAAAGCCTAAGCAAATAGAAGTATCTGAGAGCAATGTTTCCTTTGCTAAGTTTAGCCTCCAACGGAACAGAAGCTTTTTTCAGAGGTAATGAACAAACAACTGTAAATAAAGAGTTTAAGATTCAGGGGCTGGGGATGTGGCTCAAGCGGTAGCGCGCTCGCCTGGCATGCGTGCGGCCAGGGTTCGATCCTCAGCACCACATACAAAACAAAGATGTTGTGTCCGCCGAAAACTAAAAAATAAATATTAAAATTCTCTCTCTCTCTCTCTCTCAAAAAAAAAAAAAAAAGTTAAGGGTCAGAAAACTGTGACAATAAAAATAAAATGGAGCTCCTGGACAATCAGAAAATAACCTGAGTAAAACACCAAAAAGCTTTGTTATACTTGGGCACAAGTTGTCACAAGTTGTGTTAGGGAGCCAAAAACAATCCTGAGGAAGAACTTTGTTGCCAGTTGTAATCTGTTCAGCATTTTCAAAACACATGAATGAACATCCAGAAGGAATGCTTAACACATCTCTAAATAAGGCTGAATGAAGGGAATCTGAAAAGAATTAGCACTATAGAAGATTACGTGTGACCAAAATATTTCCTTATTTAATGCAGACAAAAAGTCTTCAACTGGGTTTAAGACTTCAACTAGGATACAAATTTGTACAAAAAAAGACCTGAGTAAAAGCCCAAACTGCATCAAGACTAAAAAGGCCTTAGCTGGGCACTATGGCTTGCATCAGTAGTCCTAGCTACTGGGGAAGCTGAGGTAGGGTTGCTTGAGCCTGGGAGTTCAAGGCTAGCCTAGGCGGCAGCAACAACAACAACAACAACAACAACAACAAAGAAAATACCATAATTTATCCATTCCTTCTTCCATAAATGGACATTTGGCTGTTGTTTCTAGTTTGGTTCTTATTAAAAACATATTATGCAGCTGGGGATGTAGCTTAGTGGTACAAAAAAGAAATGAAAGAAGGGGGGAAGGAGCCTAGCATGTGCAAGACCCTGGATTCAATCCCTAGTACTGCAAAAAACAACACCCCCTTGTCCCCCAACTCCCATACAAGTCTTTTTGTGACTTAGTTATGAAAACAGCAAAAAGGGATGGCTGGTTACAGGTTTAATTTTATAAGAAATTGTCCAAAGTGGTTTTTTCATTTTATACATCTGCCAGCAGTACATGAAAACTCTAGTTACCTACACTTGCCAACATTTGATCACTAGTCTTTTATTTTAAACATTCTTGAAAGTGCATATAGATACTTCATTATGGATTTGGTTTTTCTCTGCTTCCCCTTGACCCTCCTTCCATTGTTTTTTTATAACACAGTTTTACTGCAATATAATTCACATGCCATATAATTCCAGAAAAAAAATCACAAGCTTTGATAGCTGATGTGCATACCACTTACCCTGGTTCAATATGATGCGGCAAGGCTGGCATTGACCCCCATGGCACAGCTCAGCACAATGGTGCTGTCCACAATTCAAAATATTCTCACATGGGTTAGAACAGTGGACTGAGACAGCCTGACCACATCGAACTGTGTGCCTGGAAAGACAGTAGTAGATAACAAAGACAACATCAGTCTAAAGGTTCCTGCTATACAGTTAAACTAACACTGAAGCCCAAACCTCTCCCCCCAAACCTACTAAACCTGTTTATTGACCCTGTCGCCCCAGTTCTTTTTTCTCCCTTCCTCCCTCCCTCCCCCTTCTTTCATTTCTTTTTTGTAGTACTAGAGACTGACCCAGGACCTTGCACAAGCTAGGCGAGTGCTCTACCACTGAGCTACAACATCAGCCCTTTTAATTTATTCTGAGACAAGTCTCATTAAGTGCCTAGGCTGGTCTCAAACTTGTAATATTCCTTTAATATTGCTTTAGCCTCTTGAGTAGCTGGGATGGAATTACAAGCATGTGTCACTGTGTTTGGCTTTTCTATATATCTCCTTCCAATTCTTATTTCTTTTATTACCTTCTTCTTCTTCACTTTTTCTTTCTTATTATCCAGGCTTCTTTTCTCTCTCATCTATTTTCTAATCAGTGAGGAATTAAAGGTTATTCCTAAGAACTCATTCTATGTAATTTTATCTGAGTTCCATGACAGAGCATGCAGGAGAAGAAAGAGCTCTAGGATGAGAGGGGAGAAGATTAAAATTCTAATCCTAGCTCTGCTTGGGACTCCCATAATACTGTACAGATAGGGTATGAAGAAAACAAAATACTAATGTACTCAGATGTGATGTATTGAGAATTAAAGCACAATGGCATTTTCATGGGGCCCAGCACCCTGGCATTTCATTCTGATATAATACTTATATAAATATAAACATGATAGACAAGATTTTGATTTAGGGTGGATAAGCCAATTCTAACTTTGTTTTAATTAACACCCAGATTAGGGATGTAGCTTAGTAGAGCCCTTGCCTAGCATGTGCAAAACTTAATGGCTTTTAGATATTGTCTTCAGGTGTCTTTCCAGGTGATAGTTTAGTCTATTCTCCTGCAAGAAGAGTTTAATTTTACCCCTCCCATTTCAAATATATATATTTTGTTTAAAAAGTCATTATTGAATTCAAATTGAATTTGTGTGGGTGTGTATGCGCATGTTCCATGCATTTATTTTGATTACAGTTAAAACCAAAAAAGAAAACAAAAGTCATTGTCATGTACATAAATGATCAAAATGCAGTGCTCAGTATAATGGCTACCACTGGCCTATTATGCTACCATATGCCTAGCACCATGGTTAACTTCAATCCTTCAACTATTTATTATTTCTAATATATATATATATATATATATATATATATATGTTGTAGTTGGACACAATACCTTTATTTTTTTTATTTTTATGTGGTGTTGAGGATTGAACCAAGCACCTCGCATGTGCTAGGTGAGCGCTCTACCACTGAGCCACAACCCGAGTCCCTTATTTCTACTTTATAATGAGAAAAGTGAGTCTTAGTGAGATCAAACAACTTTCTCAGAATCAATAGCCAGTAAGTAGTAAAGCCCAGATTTGATCTTCTGACTCAGAATTCTCTCATGTCTTTTAAGCCACACTACTACAAATGCAAATCACTGAAATCTGCATGATCCCATCTTGTTTCAAGGTTCAGAAATCATTTTAACATCTTCCTGGGCCTCAGAGATACTCCACAGCTATCAATGATCCTTGCAATAATGATCAATAATGATCCTTGATCTTAGCAGGCCTGGGTTCAATTCCTGGTTCTGTCACCCATTAGAAAGGTTAATAAAAATCCCTGTCCCATTGGCATTTCACCTGAATAGGTAATCTTACAATCTCACTGTGCATACAATTTCTTAATTACTTATATAAGATTTCAAAGCAGGATCAGGAGCATCACAGGAAATTACTATTTATAAAAAAGTACTACTGTTCTCCCTTTGTGAGTTCTATATCCACAGATTCAACCAAGAGCAAATAAAAAATATTAAAAAAAAAATTGTGTCTATACTGAATATGTATGGTCTTTTTTCTTGTAATTATTTCTTAAACAATATAGTGTAACAACTATTTCTACAGCATTTATATTGTCTTAGGCAATATAATACAGAGATGAGTTAAAGTACACGGGAGGTTGTATATAAGTTATATGCAAATACCACATCACTTTATAAAAATGACTTAAGCATTTGTGGATTTTTACCCTTGGGGATCCTAGAATCAATCGTCCACGGATATCAAGAGATGATTTTTTTCTTTACACTTACCATTTGATTATATTTACTAACTTTTATTTTAGAAATTCACAAGTAAATCACAGATGTGGAAACAGTGCTATTCTAACTTTACCTGGTACGTCCACATTCGCACGTTTTAGTCATAAAAGCAGGACAGGGTGGGCAGGGACCAGGATGACAGAGACTGAAAAACAAAGGCTTCAATGAACAAACCATACTTTGTGCCCAAACCAAAACAAAGCAATATAACTGGGTCCTATTGTGAACATGGCAAAAAATAAACCTACTATTATGTCTAAGTTATTTCCCTAAAGAGAACCAACCATACTTTTATGTAGAAAATAATATTAACTGCATTATCGTTTTAGAACATTTAACTGGAAAAGTAAAGCCCAAGTCAAAATACTAGTTTTATTTGGGTCTGACAGTCAAAGATGATATTTTCAAATTTGGCCTTGGCCCATTTACAGCAGTGGGTAGGGATAAAAATACCTCAGTAGTAGAATACTTGAATAACATGCACAAGCTTCTGAATTCAATACCCAGTACTACACACACACACACACACACACACACACAAACACACACACATATGTACACACACAAACACACAATGTGCCTTTCAGGTGCCAGGCAGAATGACAATCTGAGCAAAGTGACAGAGCTCAGCTCCACTAGGTCCATGACAAGCATAGATATTTTCTCATCAACTACTGAAATGATCACTAGGCAGTGGGCAAACAATGGGAAGAATGAAAAAAAGATTGCTATAAGGGGGTGGACCCTGGTAAGCAAAAAAAGGGAGAGAAGGAAGGGACCAGGGGTCATGGAAAAGATTGAGCTTAGTGATATACTACAGGTCAGAATTAGAACTCTGAATAGAATGCTTTTTATAGGAACTACATTATAGACGCCAACAGAAAAAATTGCAAAATGGAATTTGTACATTCAAATAAATATTGCCATTTTCAAAGCAATATCCTGGTAAATTATACAATGGTTCAGAAATACCACTACTTACAACATTTGGGGAACTTCTATAACATTTTTGGTGAAATAGGGCATTCTAAGTGATGCTAAAGAATAACCCTTTGAGAATTAAAAGCCAATCTGAGGCCAGTCTAATTAATTGCATGGGTAACAGAGTTTTGTGCAAAACAAACCAGATGGGCCTACAAAGTAGTCTGGCTGGAATTTTTGGTTTTATACATGACTCACCAGCTCTGTTTTTTTTTTTTTTTTTTTTTTTGGTGCTATAGATTGAACCCAGGGCATTGCAAATGTTAGGCAAGCACTCTACCACTGAGCTACATCTCCAGTCTTTCTGGAACCTCTTAAATAAGGTTTAAACACTGGTAACAATCCAGGAATAAGCACCTAGTTTTCAAAAGTGACCACTTTGATAGCACCCACAGGAAACTTTAGTTTAAGCATGTCTTTAAAGAAGAGTATAATTTATTCAAAAGTAATACTTCACATGATATGTCACAACCCTGTCAGGCAAAAGAATTTAATCAACTTTTAATGAGACAAACCACAGGTCAGGTGTGGTAATTTCAAATATTGCCAAAAGCTGAACTAAGTTTCTTTCTTTTTTTTTTTTTTTTTTAAAGAGAGAGTGAGAGAGGAGAGAGAAAGAAACAGAGAGAGAGAATTTTTAATATTTATTTTTTAGTTCTCGGCAGACACAACATCTTTGTTGGTATGTGGTGCTGAGGATTGAACCCGGGCCGCACGCATGCCAGGCGAGCGCGCTACCGCTTGAGCCACATCCCCAGCCCTGAACTAAGTTTCTTAACTTTTACAGCAGGGTTTACAGTGCAAACAATATACTGGAATTACCTGGAGAGCTTTTAAAACTACAGAGGTTCGGGACCCAACCTTATAGACTCTGATCCGATTGCTGGAAGACAGAGACTGAGTTAATTGTGTTTTTAAATGTTCCCTAAGTAATTTTAATATGTAGCCAGAGTTGAGAACAATTGTTTGAGGGAATTTTATGACCTATGCAACCCCAAATAGAGAAAGGGGTCAGTTGTGGCTTTGAAGTCTTGATAAGGATAAAAAAGAGAAACTTCAAACTTTCTTTGAGATCAAGAAAGTGCTGTTGGGAAATGGGTTTCATCAATATTTGAGATCCTGACTGTAATAAAAAGACAATTTCCAAATCAAGTGTGGAATTTGCAAAGCTGCAAAACAATGTGTTTTAGAGCATCCTTCCTTTCAGACATGGTGTTGACTATCTGATCTGTATCACTTTTTTGGGGGCAGGGTATTGAACTCAGGGGCACTCAACCACCAATCTACATCCCCAGCCCTATTTTGTATTTTATTTAGAGACAGGATCTCACTGAGTTGCTTAGTGCTTAACTTTTGCTGAGGCTGGCTTTGAACTTGCAACCCTCCTGTCTCAGCCTCCTGAGCCTCTGGGATTACAGGTGTGTACTATACCACCCAGCTCATTTATTTATTTATTTTTTCCACAGAACCCTCTGAGTTAAGTACTATTATTCAAATCATTATTATTTTACAAATGCAGAAATCCAGGCTTAGAGAAATAATTTTGTCTGAGGTCATGTAAATATTTGATTCAAACGCAGATTTAAATCTTTGTCTGGGGTCAAAGCAGTCCACAGAAATTTATTTGAAACTGATTAATTCTTTCTCTATGACCATTTTTTTTTTTTTTTTAAGAGCCTGATTTGGTACATCTTAACCCTGGCTATTTATTGTATAGAAAGTATTCATATCATAAAAATACTGTCAGACAAGATGCTATGCAATTATCTTTCCTCAGACCAAAGGCTGTCATATGCATTCTCTCTTGGACCTGGATATTAGATATTGCTAGGAGATAAAATATCTGATTCTCATGTCTTTTTAGAAATGGTGCAATGCTGTGGAAGGAGCATTGGCTTTGAAAATTATAGTTCTACCATGTCCTAACATTGTGATGTTGGGCAAGAGGCTTGGCCTTTCTAAACCTCACCTGTAAAGTGAGGTTTAGAAAGTGCACAGTAAGTGCTAAGTAAATGGTGGAGATGACACATATCTACACATCACTGAGCAATGTTAAAAATTGAACAAATTACCTTATGTAGAATGCCCAGTGCACAGTAAGTGCTAAGTAAATGGTACCATATCACCATTCCCCTGATCTATTACATATTAACCAGGTATGTGTACAGGTATCTGATAGCAAGGCACGTACACCAGGAATCTCCAGAAGTCTAGTATTCCAACTTACAGGTTACAGGAATGTGGGCAGTCCTGGCCAGGCTGTTTCTTTCTACAAACCTCACCACAACTATGTGGAATTTCATTTCTGCTCCATTCAGGATTCTTTACTTTGCCTAAAATATATAAGATCAGAGAGTCAATGCTACAGATTTCAACGATATTCTCAACTTTAATGAAATAGTACAGAATAGCTAGACAGCATGAAACTTCAAGTGTGGTTTTCATTAGTTCAACAAATTCATTATTTCACATCCTACAATAAAAAGAAATGTAATGCTATTCATCAAAAGCTCCATTGAGTCTTAAATTCCAGCTTACATAGGAAAGAGAAAAAGTTTTTTTTGGTATCAGAGATTGAACTCATGGGTGCTTAACCACTGAGCAACATCCCCAGTCCTTTTGTATGTTTTATTTTGAGACATGGTCTCACTAAGCTGCTGATACTGACTTTGAACTTGTGATCCTCCTGCCTCAGCCTCCTGGGTTGTTGTGATTGCAGGTGTGCGCCACTGCGCCTGGCAGAAATAAAGTCATTTTTACGTATGAAAGTGCTATTTTCATTTGATTAATGAGCACATTTAATCTCAGATAAATATCTACTAGATAAACATCCTGTAAATGGGCTCCTGGAAAATCTATGATAAGGATTAGAAAGAAACAGGAAAAGAGGGCTAGTGGGCTGGTTATGTAACTCAGTGGTATAGCACCTGCCTAGCATGCATAAGGCCCTGGGCTCAATACCCAGTGCCACAAAAATAGATAGATAGAAAATAAAAGAAATAAGGAACGAGAATTGGGGAAAAGGGGATGAGGCCATAAGATGGAAAGGACATAAATTCTCAACTATTCTAAAGCTATAAAATAGGTATAAAAAGCATTATAATTTTATAATCAAATCTTTACTGAGCATCTTCTTCAGACTTAACAGAGTCAGGGAAGAACAAAATCCAAGTTACAGGACTCCTCCTTGTCCTTGAAGAATTCATCCTCACTTGGGTAATTTAGACATGAAATGGCAGCCAGCTCCACTCCATGCTCTCACCTTTTCTCTATATATGGTCTCTTTTAGAAATTTTATTCATATTGAGAGATTCAATAATCCAAAGTCCAAGTGATTCACAAATCTACATTTTCTGCCTTGCCTTGAATCTTCAATTTCAGTCTCACATGTCTAGCCACCTGCTGAACACCTTTGCTTGGGATTTCAGTCATAATAACTGACTTATCTACAACCAGAGTTCAGATCTTCTTTCTAAAGCCTCTCCCTCAGGAAGGGAAAGGAAAGGTAATGGAGTCTGAATTAGAGCAAGATTATATTCTATGCTTTTATAATTATGTCAAAATAGATTCTATTGTTATATATAACTAAAAAAAAAAACAATTAAAAAAAAGGCTCTCCCTCTTCAGTGTTCCTTATTTCGATCAATGACAGCATCAATGTCAGAGTAACACTCAAAAACTAGTCATTATTAATTCCTCTTTTTCTTTCTACATCGTACTTAGTCACCAAGTCTTGTCAATTCTTCCTCAGTGATTCTCTCCTATCTCTCCTCCTACTCCTGCTCTTGTCTCACTATCTGCTAAAACCTCAGGAAAGCTGCAGCCTCTGTGTTTTCTTGTTCCAATATAGTGCCCCAGTTTGGCCCTAACATCTTTTGATGCCTCTAGCACTTCTGCCTGAGTCACAGTGATAGTTGTCTTTTCCCTGCCAGGATTCTGTATTATATTCTTTCCTTATTCCTTATCCTTTTTTTCCAGTAGGGTCTTACCTACTCCTCAATTGCAACTTTCATCCTAAGTCTTTTTTTTTTTTTTTTTAATATTTTATTTTATTTATTTTTTTATTTTAGTTATCAGCGGACAAAACATCTTTGTTTGTATGTGGTGCTGAGGATCGAACCCGGGCCGCATGCATGCCAGGCGAGCGAGCTACCGCTTGAGCCACATCCCCAGCCCTATCCTAAGTCTTTATATCTTTTTTTGAATATATTTTTACCTACCTATTAGATATTCTTTACTAGATATTCTGCAAATTCACCCAACTCGGTATTTCTAACCTGAATTCATTGTCCCTACTGATTCTCTTGACCCACCCTTTTCCCTGATATCACCATTTTTAAAAGCATGAAACTTTATGTTTGAGTTCTTCCCTTTCCTATTGCTGTTCATTCCTGCTTACCTTTTAAATTTTTACCTTTTTCTTTCTATCACACTCATTATAGATTCCTATTTACTGGAAGAGGGGATTGGGGATCACACCCTGATTAGCAAGTGGATGAGAATTTATTTTTTATTTTAAAACCCAGGGGCACTTAAACACTGAGCCACATCCCTAGCCCTTTTTGAATTTTTTTTGAGGCAAGGTCTCGCTAACTTAGGGCCTCACTAAGTTGCTGAGGCTGGCTTTGAACTTGCGATCCTCCTGTCTCAGCCTCCTGAGCTGCTTAGTTATAGGTGTGCGCCAGCATGCCTGGCAGTGGATGAGAATTTAAAGAGGAAGAAGAACATTCTTGATCGTCAGTGAGTTCACCAAGGAATTGAGAAGATAGTTAATGGTCAATGATTGACTCTTGGTGAAAGCTTTTAATTAAGTAATGGGAAAGGAGTGATATGAGTAAATTGGTTAGAAAAATGAGAGCATGCAGAAACAAACAGAAGAGCTGGTCATATGGTAAACACATCAAGGTGTGTACTGTCCAAAAGATTAAGAATTTATAAATCAGCCATTGATATTGCCCAAAGGGGGTCAACTGATGACTTTTGAATATAGTTCCAGCAAGACAACAGAGATAAGAGGAAAAATGCATGGTTCAAGGAGGGAGATAAAATAGTTAAGAAACAAAATCTGAAAAATTGACTATATGGAGAGGTTAGTCATTAAAAATCAGCAGGAAGGGGCTGGGGATATAGCTCAATTGGTAGAATGCTTGCTTCACATAGCACAAGGTCCTGGATTCAATCCTCAGCACACAACCCCCAAAAAAATTAGGGGTGGGGGGAAGACATGTCAGGAATAAGGTGGAAATAAGCTAGTAGCAGGAATGGGCATCAGGATTACAATTACAAAGGATTTCTAATACATAGGTAAACTGAGCTATTAAAAAATAGGAATATTCCAAAAAGAAGGAAGATGTAAAGATATGAGTTTGTAATGCTGGTTAATAAAAAAATCATTATATGACGAAAATGACTTATTTTTGAATAAATATAAAATACTAGCTCTTTACTCATGGTGTTCAAATCTGGAATGTTAAAGCTGTCAGAGTTGGTTATGAGCGGGAGCACATATTGATACTGCCTCTGCCAGATGGTCAGCTCTTGTCTTAAGCTAAGACCAAGGAGACCTGGACCACAATTTTGAAGTGACATAAGCCTAATTGGCATCATAAGCCTATCTTCAGAATAGCCTGCTGAGAGCACAAAAGCTCATGACTCTAGCTGGGAGATGAACCACATTAGTAAGGTATTATAGAGTCTCACAGCTTCAGAGTCTTACTAGTAACTTCTAAGACAAGCCCAGCAGATCACCTCTCCTAGACAGCACACTGAGATACAATAAATGAAGTGAAAGACTCTGTAATGTATGCAAACTTACCACAGAAACAAGTATAGGTATTAGGAACATGTGCAGACACATTCTGACAGGCGGGGCACCTCCAACCACTCTGGCCATCTGTCAAAAAAAATGAGTATGACAAATTTTCTTTCAAAAGCACAAGTAGGGCTGGGGGTGTAGCCCAGGAGCAGAACACCTGCTTGGCATACATGGGGTCCTATGTTAGATCCCAGCACTACCACCCCAAAAAAGGCACAAGTAATTTTTAAAAATTTAAATCTAGCAGGGGCTATAGGTTCAGTAGTTTGCCTAGCAAGTACAAGGCCTTGGATTCATTTTCCGGTAGCGTGCGCGCACGCACACACGCGCACACACACGCACACACACACAAAAAAACAAACAAACTAAAAACTGCCAAAGTCACAATATTGACATCCTGGTAGAAATTTCAATGTTAAGCATATCAAACATTTAAGAAAGAAATTCACAATACTGAAAGAACTTTCAGATATAACAAATCAAGTAGGCTTTGTTTTGTTCTATTATTTCTAATGTCAACATTAATCTGAATCTTGGTTTGAAAAATATAGGATAAACTGAGTATATGCAAGAAAATCCAGGAGTTTTGAATTAGAGGTCCATAGTTCAGAAACCATATTATTAGTAACATATGCATTATCTAATCGTATTAGTATACTTAGCCAACAATATACTATGAAGAAGGGTTGTGAAAGGCAAAAACAACTTCAAAATCTTGAGTATAAATGAAACCATTGCTCTGCATAAATTTCTAAGGCAAACTATATAAGAAAAGCTTTCTATAGTTGCTACTTGGATAAAAGCTGCCATTTTCAATAAAAGTAACAAATTTTATTATACCCTAAATACTTTAATATTGTTACATTTAGTTAGTTTACTTAAGATTTACAGCTTAACTTTGGTCATCTAAAATGTGATCAAGGTAATATACTCTCCCTGTAGACAAAATATTTAAGAGGAATTAAACAATATTTTAAAGCTAGACTTACAACCTGAACATATCAAAAAGATGAGAATAACTACTCTGAAAAGAGAAATAACTGACCTGCTTGAGATGCTGGAGACCTTGCCCATTTCTTTATGCAGTTCAGATGAAACACATGATAACAGCTCTGACAACTCCACACTGGGGCTGTGACACGAACCAATTCACAGCACACCATGCATTCATATTTTTCTGTAGTCAGCTGTTCAATTAGAGAACCTGTTGGGAAAAAAAAGATAAACTCAAATATCCTTCACTTTTCGCTAATCACTCAGGAGAAGAAACTAAACAGAGATTTTAAGGGATATCTGATTTTGAATAAGATAGCTATTCAGACATTAAGGTCTACAAAGCAGGATATGCTGAGGCAGAGGATTTAGTAAAAAGATTTTTTAGTGTGCATTCCCATAATTGAGAAAATATTCCCAAGAATTTTCTCAGAAAGATACTAGAGTGGCAAAATGCCCCTGAAAGACAGACAGCTTGAGTGTCCTTGGGGGACACTGTACAATGGAATGTTGCTCTGCACACTCTAAAGGAGAGAGGCCCTCAATCTACCAAATCCATGGATTTAGGCTAGGGTGGGGCTCATGAAGCTGCACTGGTCAGCTGCAAAAGCCTAAATCTGGATATGTTCTAACAATCCATGGGGGAGTGAGATGATTCCAGCAGTTACCCCAGAAGTTTTTCTTTATTTACTCAATAAAGATAGGCTTGGCTCCTATCACAATCTCCATGGTAGTGTTACCAGACCTAAGGAGACACAGTTCCTGATTCCAGGAACTCACCATCTACTGAGACCAAGGGAATAGTTTGGAGTTATAGCTCAATGGTAGAACACACATTTAGCATGCACAAGGCCCTAAATTCCATCCCTAGCACTACATACACAAAGAAACTACCTAATAGGACATATATTTTACTTGTTTTCTCTTGCTTATTATTCAACTCTTTTCACAAAATAGTGCAGACTTTTACTAGAGTGGTGCCTAGGACATGATGAGTACCAATACTATTTCTCCCCCCCTTCCTTTTTTTTAATCATTGCTTAACAATTTCTTTGTAACTTTATTAAATTAAAAAAAAAATTTCTGCCTAGTACCACAGTGAACTAGGTAACCACAATAATTTACACACTGTGTAATGAAAAACACAAAAATAGCATACCCAATAGTATTTCTCATATAAGTAAATGCAGTAATAAAATAAAAATGTACAGGTTCCAGAAAGATCCCAGAAAAAGAAACAGTAGGTCTTTCACTGATGACACTAATCTTTCCTTTAGTTTTATCAAAACATGCCTAACTTGTAAGACATGGCAATGTCCTGCCATTACTCTGTGTTAGTTAACTATCAGGTTTCAGGTGTAAGAGTCTTGTCCACACTAAATGGCAGTCCTGCCTTGACTATTGGCTCTTTTTGAATTCTAGAAGGTATTTTTCCACTATGGCTTCCCTACCATTTCTTAGTCATGACTGTATCTATGCTTCTAATTGGACAAAATGTCCTACTGGCATATTGTCCACTGAAATAATCAGAAAAGCAGAGATATAACTGAAGCATTAACTGACTGAAAACTTTTCAGATATATCAATAAATAACTGCTTAAAGAAAAAAAAAGCTAAAACAAACCAGATTTGGAAAAATTCAAGACTAAAATGAGTTTTAAGACAATCAGGAATTCAATCATGGAGTAGGTATTAGATGAGTTAATAAAGTCGTTGCTAACTTTGTTAAGTGTGAAGACAATACTATGATTATCTAAGAAAATGGCCACTTGCATTGAAAAATTCCATAAGGAAATTAAACAAAAAGTTAAAGTCGATTTTATCTGGATACTAGGACTAAAAGTAAGCTATCCACTAGGGAATTTTAGTAAGTTATCTCACTAAAGTTGAAGTAGCTATATATTTTTTTAAGCTAATACAATGGCAGGCCTGGTTAAGATGTTCAAGTTGGTCTTGTTGAATTCAAAGTATATGTTATACTCATGTATATATTTATTAAATCTAAAGCTTTAGGGTCTGAACATAGAAGTAAGAAGTCAGTGCAGAATGGAGGCAGTGGTCCTTGGATAAAATAACCTAATGAGACCTTATCAATGAGAACAAAGGGTTGAGATAAAACCCCAGGAAACACCCAATAGTAAGGAAAGAGAGGAGGAAGAGACTCAAGCAAAACAGAGAAAATAAGAAAGACCAGAAGTATGTGGTGTCAAGAAAGTCTCACTTCAAAAAAGACTTCCTCTTGTGGGCTGGGGATATAACTCAGTTGGTAGAGTGCTCGCCTTGCATGCACAAGGCCCTGGGTTCAATTCCCTCTTTATATCATACTCAAAGGGAAATTCAGAATAGTAAGGACTGATATGCATCCATCTAATGGGTGTGGCAAATAGAAAACCATTCCTGACCTTATCATTATTCAGCCGAATCAGACGATGATGATACAAAGAAGTGAATCAAAATAGAGAAAACAGCAGACAACTCTGGATAAGCCCGGAATGAAAAGAAAGAAATCATACTAAGAAGTCATTCAGCAGAGGAAATTTTCCTTTTGGAGGGTAGAAAAGACTTGGCAAGAGCTTCAGACTTAGAAGCTGAAAGAGTACATGTGAAAAGGTTGGTGAAAGGAAACAAAGAACTCAAAAGGAACAAAATGGTGAGATAAATATGGCCTATCTGATGATTTCCTCTTTATCAGTAAAGTAGGAAGCTGGCAGGTTCACTTGGGATTTAGGGAGAGGAATCCTTATCTTTGTGAAACTTACAATCTCATGGGAGAAAGTAAACCATAAATAATGAAAATATGTAATACCATAAGACAGAGAAAGGTGATATGGAGAAAAAGAAAATAAGAAAGGACAGGGAATCCTGACAGCGGGGAAGGATTATAATTTTAAATAAGATGATTAGGAAGTATCACAGTTTGCATTTTTAAAGTTCCCTAATGGTTTATGTATTGAAGATTTAGTTTAGTCTCCAGTTAATGGTGCTATAGGGAGGTAGTGGAAACTTGAAGATCTGGGGCCTCATTGGAGGAAGTCAAAGCAATATGGGTGTGTCCTGAAGGGGTTATCAGGACTCCAGCCTCTTTTTCTCTGCTTCTTGGGAGCCATGGGCAGCTCTGCTCTATCACAAGCTCCCTGCCATATGTTGTGTCTCACTGAAGGCCCCAGAATAGACCCAACTGACCATGATTTGAAACTTCTGAAATAATGAGCCAAATTAATTTTTTCCTCTTTTAAACTGTTTATTTCAGGTATTTATCACAGCGATGGAAAGCTAACGCAGGTAGGCTTCTCTAAAAAGATGAATAAACCTGGCTGGGGATGTGGCTCAAGCGGCAGCGCGCTCGCCTGGCATGCGTGGGGCACTGGGTTCAATCCTCAGTACCACATACCAACAAAGATGTTGTGTCCGCCGAGATCTAAAAAATAATAAATATTGGAAATTCTCTCTCTCTCTCTCTCTCCTCTCTCACTCTCTCTTTAAAAAAAAATAAATAAATAAAAAGATGAATAAACCTGCAGCAGCACCAAATTTGGTTTTGTCACTTTTCTGGAACAGCATTTTATTTCCCAGGTGCTGATGTAGAATAAAGCAGATTTTCTTCAATTCCCCTCCTCCAGGCGATCACACAAGCGCTCATTCTCCTCCCTGGGCCCATGGCATGCAGAGAGGTTCCCTGCGTGACCTTTTAGACTTCCTTGAAGAGGAAGACGAACGAAGGAGACCCAAGAGATTTCTGAGTGGATGGGGGTTCTGCACCTTCCCCATCCCACAGGTCCTCCCTCTGGCCACTCTCCATCTCTTGTTACCCCTACCTGTTTGAGTCACCGGGAGTGCGTCTGGGTCTCTAGGAGTGGAATGGGTGTTCCTGGGTGCACCTCCTTCCCTTCATGCTTCCCCACACCCTGCCGGAGGTGAGGCTGTGACCACCTGTTGGCTTGTGTCCTAACCACATTGTCCCTCATGAATAAAGTCCCATAATAAAGGTTTTTCCCATAAAAAAAAAAAGCAGATTTTCTGGGGATGAGATTCTGCCAAATGGCTTGGCAAAAGATCATGCTTCACATGATCTGTGATAAGACTCAGCCTGAAAAGAGAATGAAGAAGGGCAAGAGGTAGACAAAACTGGTAGTGTGGGTGCAAGAAAGAGGCTGAGAGAACCAGGACAAACGATTACAGTCAAAAAGTTGACATAAGACTTTCAGTGACAGGATTCTCAGTGTTATTTCCCTGAGAGTGGGTATGGAGATAGGATGAAGTTAAAGGTGACTGTAGTTGAGAAGATGAAAGAACTTCAGGATGGCATAATCCATATGATTGTTAGATGCTAGAGGCACACAGAATATCAGCAGGTTTTATGGCAGATCATTCTCAAACTTGAGCATGCAATTAGAATTACATGGAAGTTTGTTAAAAATAAGATTACAGATCCTGCTCCCAGGATTTTTGTTTGATAAGTCTGGCATGAGGCCCAAGAACCTGCATTTTTAACAGGTTCTTGGGTCTTGCTGATGGTTGCTTATCTGGAACCATACTTTCAGAACCAGTGCAGTAGAGAAATGGAGCAAGATGCATCAATAGGAAGGGCTGGGGATGGGAGATTTGGAGAATAAGAGATGACAAAGATAAGGAGTGCTGGTACGGTATGCAAGCCTGTAATCCCAGTGGCTCGGGAGGTGGAGGCAGGAGAGTGAGTTCAAGCTAAACTCAGCAATTTAGTGAGGTGCTAAGCAACTCAGTGAGATGCTGTCTCTAATAAAATACAAAACAGGGCTGGGGATGTGGCTCAGTGGTCAAGTGCCCCTGAGTTAATTTCCCAGTA